TCTCTCGTTTTTTTCTTTCTTTCTCTCTGTTCTTTTTAAGTCTTTTGTCATAAAATCCTTGTATATTATTAATAGTACTCATATTTTCTTCATTATTTCTATTTAACTCTTTTCTCTAACGAGGAAGTTTCCTAAAAATAATATTAGTTCTATATCAGTTCGGTTATCAGTGTAGCATTTTGAATGTGCATTTGACAATATAAAACGTTTGCAATCTAAATAAGAAAAAAATCAATGATTCGATTTGACATCATACAAAAGTGTTATAAAAAATATATAATTATACAATATATAATTTAATAATTTCTGAATAAAATATTAAAATTTTTTTGTGTTAAAATTACGCCAATCTATCCGTTATAAAATCCATAAAGTGTGTTGTTTCAATCGAATTTATGATTTATATACTTTTCCGTACATCTGATTGGTAGCTATCGATGCTATCAAGTTTGCCATGAGTTTCGTGTCGATGACGTCTAATGTGATAGCTCGCGTATCTAATTTTTTGAATAAAAGGAAAATCCACATATTAATAGAAAGCGCGCGCTGCGTGATAATATTAACAAGAAAGAGAATAACATTTTTAAACAAAAAAAAACGTAGAATTATCAAAAAATAAAATTGATAAATAAAATTGTAGATGTCCTGAATTACAAATTGTTAATTAATTATTTTTTCCCGTAACTTTATAAATAGTAACATCAAATTCCTTTCACTCGTATCAGGGATAAGTGCTTCGAAATTACAGCTATCTAGCATTGCGTTTGTCAGCCCTGTTGCTGCGAGAGTATTTGTTATTTATTATTAACATTATTATTAAAAGAGGGCTTTTTATACTTCTCTTTTAATTCGCGACCCATTTGCTACTCGCTCTGTTTGTGCCGAAATCTTTAGGAAAAGGGGGAAAGAGTGTGTTTTTATTATACAAATTTCGCAATACTCGACCGATATAATTCACTCGTTTCAATTTTTCTTTCTTCCATTCAAAGCTTGTTTCTTTTGCGCAAAGATGATCTAGCATGAGCCGCGCCGCACTTCTTTTATGTTTGCCCTTTTTATCATCCTCTCGTCCTTTCTCTCCCTCCTCATTCGTACACACATATACACATTCACATACACATTCTCGCATTTTTTTTCCTTTAAAATTGTGTAATTTACAATTACTATACAACATGACTGAAAATACCTTAGACCACGATAATACAATTATAATCGTACTGTTTTTTAATTTTTTTATTACCACTTAATTTTATATATGCTTTTATTTTTTTATTCCTCCAGTATTCATCTCGTTTTTCTTGTACGCGAGTATCTTAAAACATTTATGTTCACTTATCGTACCTCGTACAACGATACTGCTTCTCCTAAGATTCTTTAGAGTTTTCTTAG